CTTTCATAATACATTTTATTCATTATACACAGAAATATACGGACGCTAGTTCGTATAATTACGACAAATATGAAATTAAAAAACCTCATTTATAGAAATGATCATTCCCTAAAGGTTGATGGAAGTCTGGAGAATATTTGTTTTCAGATCCATCTTTATTAGCATTCTTGGCACGCCTCTTGAATGACATCACCTAATTCACCTAGGATATTAAGTCTTGGATTCTTGTACACTTCCACCTTCAATATTTTTTACACATTGGTAAGTGAGTCCAAAGTAGGTGAGTCTATTCGACCTTCCTCTGCAACCCGCGAGGATTGCAGATCTTACCTATTTAAACTCAAAAAAATAAACTAATTTTTTTAACCACGCCGATTAGTTCATTTAGTGAGTGATCATTCAGATCATTTAGTAAGGGTGAAACTTTACGTTGAAAACGCTGAAAATCTGATCCGGTCAGCGGCGCAGGACTCCTATTAGTAGATTATATTAACAAATCTACTTACTCTACTTGCATATCATCATTGTCACTGATAGGAAAATGAGACTATTCTGATTCATCTCCATGAAGACCTATTATCGAACTAAAGAATATCTAACATGACATTATACATAAATTACACTGAAAATTGATGAGCATGTTCGGGATATTTCTTCAATACAGTTAGGAGGGTGAAAGCAGGCATCAAATTCTGAAGAAAAGCCATACTAGGATATTTTCAATTTCTGTGATTTTCGGATTAAAAAGTGAAAATTTTTAATTTTTCAACAAGACAACAAAAAAAAGATATACCTATAGGGGTGATTGGAGTTGAAGTGATACATTCCATACATAATCACTGTTTTGATAATATGCAATCTCAGTGAGTTTAGTTAGTCATAAAATACAATTCTTTGAAGCAGAGAAAATACAGGGGTTGCCAAAGTTGAAGTGATATTCTTCATGAACAACATTTTCAAATACAATTTATCTAATAAACTAAATAATCACAAAATACTTTTCGAAATACCATCTGTTCATTTTCCATTTGAAAAAGATAGACGTTACACCAGGAATGGAAATTCCAATCCTCATTTTCAAAATTCGAATTCTCAGGTTTATTATTGTGTTAGGCTGCATTCGAAAAATAAATCGCTAAATGGAAAGCTTTCAGTTTCTTCTGCTGAAGATGGTAAAATGATGATGGGTAGCACGTGTAGAAGATAAAAAATGCCCTAATTCTACATAGTTTTCCCTCAGTCCAGATATGGGCATGGTTATTGTGGCCCATTTTGTGAAGTTTATTTTTCAACGGTAGATTGAATTTTTTCCGTGTCTGAAAAATTATTCAACGTCTTGAAAAACGAAGAATGTAATAGGTTGTTTTGTAATAGTAAAGAATATTCACGTGAAGCATTAGTAACTAGTGTTGAAAAATGTATTTTCGAAAATTCGTACATTTTTTTTCCATTATTAAAATGCTCAGGATCTTCGGGACATGTGGACTACCTAAATGATAACAATACTCGTATCAGGATATCGTTATACCAGAATATTTGCAAATGAAACAATTTTCGATTCCAATTGTGAACAGAATAATGTTAAGCTCGTCTTCTTTGTAACAAGACGTATGAGGTTTCAAAGGAAACTAAGAAACTAACGAACTTGCAACTCAAGAGTCATCAGTTTCATTTCTTAGAGAACTAGTAAAGAGGTCAATGAAGAAATTATTGAATTTGGGATAGTTTGCATGACTTAAAAAAACAGAAAATGTGACAACCAACACTGTAGAATACGAGATGAGTTGTCTCAAATATACTGCGTGATATAAATCATTGAATCACAAAAAATAGAATAAACTAGACCAGACTGATGTTTACAGCAAAATAATTCATTTAGGAAGCAGTAAATTCGGAGTTATGAGAGTCTTAACTATACCTGGTGGGCAAATTATGTCTTTATCTTCAATGGTAGGTAATACCATATATTTCAACTTATGTAAAATACACGAGCTCAAAAAAAATTATTCAGTGGTGACACAAAAATTTTCTAATAGAATCACTTTACTACTCGAACGGGCGTAAATGCGATCACTTTCAATTCCTATATATCAAGATTATCTATTGTTTTTTCGATAGATCGGACATTATAATGTATGTTAAATGAACCAATCCATAATTTGACCAAACACAAAGTTTCCCTGTTATTTTGAGTTTTATCCATTTATTACGTATGCAAAAGTATATATGTATAATCATTTATGTTTAATGAAATCTAATTGAATAGAGTTTCATGCCGTTCAGTTTTACACCGGATCCTCGTATACTTTTGCTAGGAATACATTTGAATAACACAAGTGTCAAAAATAATGGTTTACTATTGGGATAAAACTCCAGTAATATTCATTACTTCATCAAAGATTCCAAACAGTGCATTACATGGACCACATTTGCTAGAGTTAAGACCAAATTCTTCTGGAAGGATAGTTTATATATAATATGGAAATATGAAGTGCTCTCGTCCTTACTTGATATGGTTTTGTGAGCAAATTTATATATTTTCAAACGACAAAGATATAGGCCGGAACACATAATTTGACCCACCTGGTATGAAGAGTCGAAAATAAATTTTCACACCACTTTTTAAGACGTAAAAGTTGAACCAATATATATTCAAATCTTTGATAACATACTGAAACAGTGTAAAAATCTGAGCTATTGCTATGAAGTACGGCATACCAAGAGTTGGTTCCATTCTTTCAAAAAACGTGACATGAAATGGACCATAGCGACACATTCAATCAAAGATCGATTATTTCCAAAACAAAAAATAACTACAATAAACATAAGTTATTCCGAAACTTTTCTGTAACCGGCGCCCGTGAATCAATTGAAGACTTCAAACATATTGGAATAAACGAATACAGGCGGGATGAAATTCCGATAGACATAACGAATCGGCAAAAATTGTATTAACTGATGAAAAAATAAACAGAAAATCACTAAAGCTGTAGACATACGATACCTGTCCCCGTATCCATTCCCTTCCCTCTCCATGCACGATAAATATAGGCGGCTGCCAGCAATATTAGATCATAGAAAAAACCAACATAGTTGGGCCCGGCTTATGGAATGTTTGAGCGCACAACGTACGTGTATCATTTTTTCAATCAATTATTCACGAAACATCGCCTCTGGATTTCATCCTTTCAATTGATTGGATGGAAACAAATCACAAGGTAGGCTATGACACATGTTACTGGCGCTTCCAATTTTACAATCGAATCTTCAAAAGGGAGCTGGCAGAACTGAACTGATTATCTTTTGTTTTTAGTAGAGTCTTCGAAAGTTTCTCAAAAGCATCAAGGAGTTCTGTAGACTTTTAAAGAGGGGTCACATTGAAAATACTCGTCAAGATTTGAGAACGATTTTTTTTCTGTTCTTTTCAAATATTGTCCTATCATTTTGAATACTCTACATCTCTGCTGACTGGAAAAAGTGCCAGTGGTTCCAGTTCCAACTTTAATTTATCTTAATAATAGAACGATTTCGGTTTCAAGTTCCACGATGCAAAAATGTTTACGAGGAGTCATCCAAATGCGATGTTTCATTTCAACAGATAGTTTTTTTACATACTGCCATGTCTGGTGATCTTCCTAGAATTATTATCAACAATATATCAGTAGCACCACATATATCAGTAGGCCCGTATAATTCAAAAAAGAGCTTCATGTAGATTATTTACTTTTTTTGTCAAAATGGAAATAAGAAGCATCTTTCGATGCAAAAGTATAAGTTTACCGTTCAACTAATATTCACGTTATGACAAACCAGAGGCACGTTCGGGACAGTTGTGAATCTATAGCTTGGTAGTAGATATCATTTCAAGGCTTTGTCTTTCAGAACTGAATATTTCAAATGATACACGTGCCAGGTGTAACCGCATGCTATGAATGAATGTGAACTATTCAAGTTCTGTTTCCCTTCGAAATAATCACAAAATACTTTTCGAAATACCATCTGTTCATTTTCCATTTGAAAAAGATAGACGTTACACCAGGAATGGAAATTCCAATCCTCATTTTCAAAATTCGAATTCTCAGGTTTATTATTGTGTTAGGCTGCATTCGAAAAATAAATCGCTAAATGGAAAGCTTTCAGTTTCTTCTGCTGAAGATGGTAAAATGATGATGGGTAGCACGTGTAGAAGATAAAAAATGCCCTAATTCTACATAGTTTTCCCTCAGTCCAGATATGGGCATGGTTATTGTGGCCCATTTTGTGAAGTTTATTTTTCAACGGTAGATTGAATTTTTTCCGTGTCTGAAAAATTATTCAACGTCTTGAAAAACGAAGAATGTAATAGGTTGTTTTGTAATAGTAAAGAATATTCACGTGAAGCATTAGTAACTAGTGTTGAAAAATGTATTTTTAAAACTATTGATATTTGGTGTTTTAGATTATTTACTATTATTGATTAACTGTTAACTATTTTTTTATCTATTTTAATACAATTTTCCAACATCTTAATGTGGCATGCTTTTTATCATTTCATCAATTGTAGAGGTTCCTGCATTTATCTTTTTTCATTATTTCCAATATACTTTTTTCAATTAGTCAAAAAACAACACATAACATTTTCTCGCTCAGTCAATCACCATTACCAAGTGCCTACAAAACAGGTAAAATCTCATTGCAGGAACCAATTTAGTTCATTTTCTCGCTTGATCTATTTGGATTGAAAGAGTCCCAGAAATGTGTGTTTCATTTTTATCATGTACATTAGATCTATTACTATCAGCAATACAGATTTTTTTCGATATACACATTCCTGGGGCTTCATTACAAATTTTAAAATTATTCTCACTCAATTTACCATTTTTGGAGCCGTATAATTGGGTACGTTTTTTCGATCCTCTTTTAACTTTTTTGCTTCCCTGTTCATTGGTGTTATTTTTATTCTCTGCGTCATATTCCGAATGGAACCCTCCAAAATGAAACTGACAAGCTTTTATGTACAGGGGTGCCAGTTCGAAAAGTCCAACTATGAACCACAGTCCAACTCTTTACGGTGACCATATTTCTTCGAATATGCAGGTGAGTGAATATTTTACAGTTATTGAACATCATGCTGTAACTAATTTGAGAAAGTTCATGCAGGCATCTCTCATGGATGAGAACAATCTGTCGTTTCTGACCAATTCTTCCATGATGGTGAATCGACCTAGGGATAGATCAGAGTCACCCTCGCATGAGCATCTGATGAGGTGAGTTCGTGTTTTCGGATATCTTGTATCTTATAATTTCATTGAAATGGTGGTCTCGAGATAACATATAATTTTTTTCATACTTTTGGGGACTCTACAGCTAAGGAAATGACTGGAGAGTGAAATAAATCTGGCAAAGAAAATCAAGCTAAGTTTTAGCAATACTACTTCGAAAATACTGTATGTTTATTATCAGAGTGAGCATTGCTGATCGGGTCTTGTAGCATATACAATGTTAACTGGGGTGGATCCCTTATTTACAGTGGGTGAGTCAATTCGACCCTCCACTACAATCCGCAAGAGTTTACTGTGGTCGACACCCATTCAAACTCGGTCAAAGTCCAGCTTTCCAACAATACCCTTCAACGCTTTTGCTGAATGATCCCTCAGGTCAGTTGATGAGAGTGAAACTTTGTCGAACTGTGAAAACCCGATTTGAAGAGCAACTGAGAAGACACAGAGTGTGTGCTTCCTTGTTTCATCATCTTCCGTAACAGCGGCGACATCCACTGTCTTCCGTCAGTCCTAGTCTCTTCATATGATGATTCAGAGAGATTTTTCAGTAGGTCTGTTAGACAACGTAGGTCGTTCCTGTTGTAGTCTAACTGCATTGAAATGGGCCAATCCTGGTTGATTTTGCCAGAAGTTTGAAACTCTTCTTGCAGGTTTTCAAGCGCTGAACAAAATAAGGTACTATTCCAGAAGTTTAACGACGTGAATATCCTCTAATCATCTCCATCACTTCCGATGTCAGGGACTATTTGATTTCAACTGTTCTACAATTGGCGGGAAACACAACTAGGTAATGCATTACTTTCCAGAAATAAAGGATACATTCTATGAAATAACTGATGACAATATCGCTGGAAAATATGTTTTGACAGTTCAATTTTTATTTGGTAATTGTTATTTGGTCACGAAATTTTCAGCCATCCACCTTTTCCACTCACAACGGAGAATAAACCATAATTCCAAACATTTGATAGTACATATTGTAATGGGTCAAGTGGTAGTGTTCCATATTCGTAATATTTGTCAAAATCACTTGACGAATAATGAATATATACATCAAAATGTAAGAAATTGGAAAATCAACAATATTCATGTAGATCGTCTGAAAATATCAACCCTTTTCTTCAACACCCTAGTCTATAAAATAAATTATATTTCTCAAGTACCTCCAGTCCAGCAAAAATGAATTTGGTGATATTGCTAGTAATTGAATGGATTTCCTTATGCCAGTAAACAATCAAACGCGAGATATCAAATTATTATATCGAACGGATTTTTTCTGAATTTAAGTAAATCCGACATCTGAACAAGCACTTTGCAGTTCTAATATTTGTTAAAAGTGCTTATTTCGAATTTATTCTACGCCAGAATACTGTTGTAAATTATGCCCGAAAGGAAATAACGCCGACCGCCACTGGTAACCATAAACCAAACGTGACGTAGCTGAGAGCGTGGGAACGCCCAATGTTCAGTGCTGCTCGAGAAGCAGCGAAAGAACTTCGGCAAAAATTCCACCATGTTCGATTGCGATATTTAAACGCTGGCTTCGGGCATATCTGGGCAGTCCAGTCTGTCGAGGAATCGACAGACTGGACTGTCGAGTAGTGCAGAAACTCACGAAAATTCGTTAGTTAGAGAAGCTATAGATTATGCTGTAGAGGGCCCCTCCCGATACAGAAGGCCCCGACACTCTGTCGGATAAAGGCCCTCATGTCCCCCTCAGTCACGAAACCCATTTGTCCCTCTGACAAAACTCAGCTACAAGGGTGAGGGAGCTGGGCTCCAACCTGATGAACACGAAGATGACACGAACATATCTGGGCAGTCAAGTTCACAGTTAGATGGATGTAACAGTGCAGTACGCGAAGTAATGTAGTAAAGCGATAGACATCAAAATAATAGTTGAAATTTTTAGTTGAAGTGTTTGTTGTATTTCAAGTGAAATAAAGTTGAGTTCGATTATTCAGTGTAGGCAATTATTGGTGAACGCACGGGTAAAAACGTAACATCTGGTGTCAGAAGTGGGATAATTGACTGAAAATTTTCTATTTTATGGTGAAAACAAGGAGTGTCGATTACGATGAGGTGGAAGAGCTGAAGAAAATGTTCAAGGCTTTGCAAGCGAGCCTGGCGGAGAATGAAAAACGCAGAATAGAGGAAAATGAACGCAAAAAAGAGAAAGATGAACGCAGAAGAGAGGAAGATGAACGCAAAAGAGAGGAAGATGAACGAAGAAGAGAGGAAGAACAATTACGCCAAACTGAAGAAGCTGAACATCGAAGAGAGGAAGAACAATTTCGCCGAAATGAAGATTGTGAAATACTACTATTCAAGAAAAGCAGAAAAAAGACAATCAGATGTACCTTCATTCATTGGAAGATTTAAAATCTTCCCAAGTGAGTAAAGGAGAGGTACAGGAATTCATTCAGGAAGAATTGGGAAAAGTATTTCAGGAAACAAAGGGAGGATTGGAAAAAGTGGTCGATGAAAAGCTTGAATGGGTCGAAAGAAAATTTCAAGAGAAGTTTGAAGGAGTCGGAAGGAAACTTGAGGGAGTCGACAAAAAGTTTAAAGGAGTCGATAAAAAGTTTGAAGAGATTTTCCGGGAACTTCGGAAAGAATTACCTGAACCGAAAAGGATAACTGCGGAAAAAAGCAAATCGGAAACGACACTCTCCCCTTCTAGTAGTAGTTTTATAAAAACTCCAACTTTCAATGGCGAATCTTCATGGTCAATTTATCACAGACAATTTGAAGCCGCTGCGTAAAATAGTGGCTGGAGAAATAAAGAGAAAGCAACAGCTCTCGTACTGGCACTACGAGGAAAGGCTTCCGATATTCTGCAAAATATTCCAGTGAATAGGCAGAAGGATTATGAACCAGTCGTATCAGCTGTGGAGGTCAGGTATGGTAGTGAGCACCTTCAACAAGTCTACCAAGCCCAACTGAAGGTGAGGACTCAAGGTCCATCAGAAAGTTTGCAAGAGTTTGGAGCTGAAGTCGAGAGGTTAGTAAGACTTGCCTACCCAGAAGCAACGGATAACTTCACCCACTGGATAAGTGTCCATAATTTCATCGACGGGGTTCGTGACACGGAGCTGTAGTAGTCATTGAGGATGGCACGTCATAAAGAATTGAATAAAGCCATCATTTATGCCCTGGAATTTCAAGCTGCTAAAACTGCTTCGCGACAACAACGAAAAGTTTTAGTGAGGGCCATCAATGAAAAGAAAGACGAAGGAACAGATCGACTCATGGTAGGTCTTGAAGAGCTGCTTGAGAAATATTTGATGAATGGAACTGTACCCAACGCAAGAGGACGGCCTAAATGTTATAACAACGGTAGCAGAAGCTATGTTGCAGAACTTAATTGCCAGATACGGAGTACCTCAAGAACTGCACTCGGATCAGGGTCACAATTTCGAATCGGATTCATGGAAGAAAATGATGACTCTGTTGGAAATAAAGAAGACAAGAACAACTGATCTTCACCCACAATCCGATGGAATGGTCGAGAGGCATAATCGCATCTCTCGATGTTTGTCTCCGAAAACCAAAGTGACTGGGATAAATTGGTTCCTCTTTTTCTGTTGGCATAGAGGAGCTCCCAACATGACGCGACAGGTTATACACCATCCATGTTGTTAACTGGTAGGGAACTGAAGCTTCCGATAGATGTATTTTTTGGGAGTCCCTTTAAAGAATCTCAAGAGGTACCTCTTTCAGAGTATGTGAATGGCCTGAAGGAGTGACTGGAAATTGTACACAAATTTGCCAGGACCAAATCACAGCTTTCCAGCGACAGAATAAAGATACGATTCGACAAAAAGTCGCTGCCAGTGAGCTTCAAGGTGGACGATGCTGTGTGGCTCTACTAACCCCAACGTCGGAAAGGCTTGTGTCCCAAATTGCAGAGACAAAGGCAAGGACCTTATTTGGTAACCAAAAAGATAAACGATCTGGTGTACAGAATCCAATTGTCACCCAGAAGCAAGCCCAAAGTTGTCCACATAGAGAGGCTGAGTCCTTACATGGGTCGTGATGTTCCCTCTTGGAATGTTGTTCGAGGCAAACAAACTCAGGGAAAGGGGTAGTGTTGTAAATCATGCCCGGAAGAAAATAACGCCGGCCGCCAGTGGTAACCATAAACCAAACGTGACGTAGCTGAGAGCGTGAGAACGCCCAATGTTCCGTGCCGCTCGAGAAGCAGCAAAAGAACTTCGGCGAAAATTCCACAATGTTCGATTGCGATATTTGAACGCTGGCTGCGGGCATATCTGGGCAGTCGAGTACACAGTGAGGTGGACGTAACAGTGCGGTACGCGAAGTAATCTAGTGAAGCGATAGACGTTAAAATAATAGTTGAAATTTTTAGTTGAAGTGTTTGTTGTATGTCAAGTGAAATGAAGTTAAGTTTGATTATTCAGAGTACTCAATTATTGGTGGAACCACGGGTAAAAACGTAACAATACCTTTTATTGAAAACAATATGTCTGTTGGCGGAAGCGTTTCAGTTTGCTAATTGATTACATATAAAAGTCTTTATTCAGAGAGAAAAATTTAGTTCCAAAAAAAAGATGAAAACAAATACAATTGTGAGTTTCGTTAAGATATTAGTTTGATATTCAATTTGATGCATATTAACCAACTTGAAAAAGAAAAGATACTAGAATATGTTCGATATCACGAGTCATAGTTCTTCCAATGAATATGCAATGAGTCATCGATGGCTCAACTGTCACCTGCCAGAGGAGATCTTGGCGAAAAGTACTCTACTATCATCTTACCCCACGGTAAATTTAACAAAAACGTGCTCTTTTTCATATCAATGTAGTGGCTATATTCCACTTACTGACGGGGCGGCAAAAATAATGAAGGAGGTCAAAAAAAATATTTAAAAACGAACTTAGGCAGCGATAGATTTTGATTCAATTCATGAACACTATAATACTTGTAACAGTGGTTATCAACCAGGTAAACGAGGTACCAATAGTAATTATGGAAAAAACAAAACACCTCCGAAATGTCAGAATAAATGTTATCGCAATCTCATACAATATTGTGTTTTTTTTGTGGCGGACATTAGCCCAACATATACATTACATTTTTATATTTTGGTTCATGTAATGGAATTGGTTGATACTTGATGAAAAGCCAGAATTTGTTCAAATAAGACTTCATTGTGAGATTTTCACTGAGCAGTTTACAAAATCCCAACACGGGTTTCACAATAGAGTAGTGATACCGACAAAATTCTACATAACTAGTGCTTCATTTAATATAACAACTTGAATTATATGAACTTCAGATGCTACAAATGCAACACGCATTTATATAGACGGCTCAAAAACCAAAGAAGGCTCAGGATGTGGAGTGTACTCCAGATCACTAAGCCTAAGGATTGAATGGGAAATGGGAAAAAATACCAGCGTGTTCCAAACAGAACTGG